GAGAGAGGAAGAAGAAGAGGTGGAGAAGGAGAAGAAAGAGTAGAAGTAGAGGTGGAGAAGAGGTAGAAGTAGAGGTGGAGGAAGAGGTAGAAGAGGAGGTGGAGGAAGAGGAGGTAAAGGAAGAAGAAGAAGAGGAAAAGGAGGAAGAGCAAAGGGAGGACGATATGGAGAAGGAGGAGGTGGTGGTGTGGTGGAGAGGAGAAAAAAGAGAAGAAGAGAAGAGAAGAAGAGAGGAGAAGAAGATGAAGAAGAAGGGGGAGGAGAAAGTGGGAAGAGAGTAGGAAGAAGACAAGGAAAGAAAACAGGAAAAGAATATGATGAGAAGCGAGGGAGAAATATACGTGGAAGTAATGAAGGATGTAGAAAAGAACTGGAGCTGGAAATGGAAGAAGCGAGAAGTGAGGTGAGTGGATGCTCCGGAGGTGGTGGAGGCAGAGCAGAAGATGGAGTTTGACAAGAGAGGATGTGCAGCGGAGGGAGCAGAAAGGATGTGGGAAGTTATGCCTATCGCTGGCTGCCCTATGGATATGGGTAAAAATGAGGGGAAATACGTGAAGATAGAGGAGGAGGAGGGGGTGGAGGAGGTGGAGGGGGTGGAGGAGGGGGGAGGGGGGGAGGAGAGGGAGGAGGAGGAGGAGGGGTTGGAGGAGGAAGAGGGGGTGGAGGAGGAGGAGAGGAGAAGGAGGGAGTGACGAGGAGGGGGGTGGAGGAGGAGGGGGGAGGAGAGGTGAGAAAGAGGGAGTGGACGAGGAGGGAGGGCAGGGAGAGGGGGTGGAGGAGGAGAGGAGGAGGAGTGAAGAAGGAGGGGTGGAGGAGGAGGAGAGGGGTGCGGAGGGAAGGGGTGGAGGAGGGGGTGGAGGAAGGAGGGGAGAGAAGGGGTGGAGGGGAGGGTGAGAGAGAGGATGAGATATGAGAGTGATAATATACTTTTGTGTGTGTGTGTGTAAGAGAGAGAGAGAAGAGAGAGAGAGAGAGAGAGAGAGAGAAGAGAGAGAGAGAGAGAGAGAGAGAGGAAGAGAGAGAGAGAGAGAGAGAAGAGAGAGAGAGAGAGAGAATAGAGAGAGTAAACGAAAAGGCTAGCGAGAGAGAGGAAAAAAACGTGAGAGAGGGAGCCAATAAGACTGAGAAACTTTTCAAAGACAAAGTGGCAAAAAATGTTGTGAGCAGGAGCACTTGACATGAGGAAAAGCGTAACAAGTGGTTATTGGCAGATGGTGGAGAGAACGGGAGGTGGTAGGGAGGGCGAGGGGAGGGCGAGGGGAGGTGCAGGCGAGGGAGGGGTGGCAGGGAGGGGGAGGAGGGGAGTGGCAGTGGGGGCGAGGAGAACGGGAGATGGCAGGAGGGGAGGGAGGGGAGGTGCAGAGGGGGTGGCAGGGGAGGTGGCAGGGAGGAGAACGGGGGTGCAGGAGGGGAAGGGAGCAAGGGCAGAGACAGGTTGGGGGAGGGGAGGGGAGGGAGAGAATGGACAGGAGGAGGGGAGGGAATGAGAAAAAGCATAGATAGAAAGCGGGACAACAAAGGTGTGAGGCGAGAAGAACAGGTATTAAAAGGATAGAGTGAAATAAACAACAATAACAACGTCACGTGTGTACCCATAAAGGTAAACACATACGTATCTCCCAACCGCACAATGCATTAACGCGCTAGATACAACACAGTATACACGTACATAGAATAACACACACACACACACACACTCAGACGCACATGCTCCCACACACAAAGAAGAGAATATTTTGAAGAAAGGAAAATAATGAAAAAGACAACCAAACACTACAGCTGAATGACCCAACTGTTCTCCCATACTCCTCGAAGCATTCTTTGAAGACGTTGATATTTTTGCTGATCATCTTTTCACTAGCTTTGAAAAATAAATGGGGAAAGTTAATTTGAGGGTGAAAGAAGGAAGATATAAAGACAAATATTTTTTAAGCGTTATGTATGTATCAATACGATTAGCACAGATATACTTGAGGTGGATTATAAGTACAACATCAAAATAACAATACCCATCAAAATAAATCATCATAGTTTGCAAAACTGAGCTAAGAAGTTATATGGTAAGACGCTTAAATAACATAACTCACAAAATCCTACTACACTAAGAATAATGACATGAAAATTTAGATGAAAAATTAATCATACAAGATAAAGTCATTTTCACTAGAGGCGACTTTAGTTTAAGGAGGGAGCATTAATTGATTAATCATCGCTTTTTTTATAAAACATATTAGTAAAATACCGCGATAGGTAATAAACTCACTTACATAGATAAGTGGAAGGTAGAAGAGATATGAGAAAGATTATATATTATTGAGAGAAAGCTGAGAAACACAACCTAAGCTTAGAATCCATCTATAGGTAACAAACAATCCTAAATAGGGTAGGTAACTAACCATCGTTTAATCAAATAAGAACTTAGTTATAATAACAGAAAAGACACGTACAATAAAAATTGAGATAAACTTTAGGAAAAACATAATAAATAGAGTAAATCCAA